TAAAATAATAAATAATAATTAAAATAAAATAAAATGCATATGTACCCAGGTTGATAAGGGAGCCCAGAAATCAGCATTTTTAAATTCTTGCCCGATGCCAGCCAGGAAATACCTTCCTGACTCCTGAGTTTGGTTTTGAGCCATCCTCCCCTCAGAAAGCCCCTCCTTCAAGCAAACTGGGTCTCTCACTACCCCATCATGCCTCACACTTCTTGCTCTGTGTTTTTGCAGGCCCAAGGTCCCTTGGCCTTGAGCACCCTCGCTGCGACTATCTTGCAAGGCTCCCTGCAAGACTCCCTACGGCTTCTGTGTCACTCCAGGCCATGCTGAAGGCTCTTTACACTGAACTTGAAAACCGCTTACTATGTCAGCCACTTGGCAATTAGTTAGCTGCTGTCTTTTGATGTCTTCCATATCTTTGTTTTGCATTAAATTTTGTTTATGTCTGACTTTCAACCAGACTATAAACTCACAGAAAAGGGAGGCCTGGTCCCAGTCCCCCGCCCCCTAATTTCTGCCTCTCCTGGGCACTCTGCCTAATACTGTACAGACAGCAAATATTTCACTAAATGGTTTCAAGGAGATCTCTTCAGACGCAGTGTTTTGATGGGTCACCATGAGATGGCAGAATTCCCTACACAGGACCTTTGAGTTGAAAGAGCCAAGCAGTCTAAAATGCCTGTGCCACTCTTGCTGTCAGCAGTGCCTTTGGGAAGCTGACTTCTGCAAAAGAGAGAACTAGTCCTGGCCTCACTTTCCACATCCAAGCTTTCTTCTTTTGTCAGGGCAAGAGTGAACTTCTCCCATTTGAAATCCCGTGACCATTTCTGCCAGCACAAGATAACCAAGAAGCATGACTCAGCCACTTTCTTGCTGAAACTGTAGAATCAACTAGTTGAGCAACTGGCATTTTCTCGCCCTAGTTTCACTAGTGTCTAACCCTCGAGATCTGTCGGTGAAAGATCAGCCTTGCACTTGGGTCGTACTGTAATGATGAATCCTTAGGGGAATATGGGACAAGTTAGGAGTTTAAGAAGTGTTAAAATAATTCTGAGTCAGTTAATTTAAAATATAGATGCCCCCTTCCCCCTTTGGAGAGAGGGTCAAGATCACTCTCCAAATTGTCACTGTCCTGAGTGGAAGGTGGTGTTTTACAAATCATTGCTTTATGGAAGAATAGCTGCCAAGCCCTGGGGATGGTGTGTATGTGACTTGTGAAATTTATTACCTCTCCAGGGACAGTATTTCACGGGAAGGTCTTCATTTTCTCTCTCCAGGAGAATCCATATGCTACGCTGACCATGTCTTTGGCACAGACTAACTTCTGCAGGAAACAAGGGTTTGATCCCCAAAGCCCCCTGTGTGCCCACATCATCCTGGCAGGGACAGTAACCAAGGTACGTAGTTACCTGCAGAAACAGAGACTGGCTTTAGAAGAGTGTCATCTTGTTAACAGTGAAGGAAGAGACAGTTTGAGAATAAAATGAAGCTGATTTGCGATTGAGATGCAGAGTTAGAATATGTTCTACTGTATCGTTTCATAAGCAGTAAAGGTTTCAGCCAGTTGCTTTCACATAGGCCTTCAATGAGACACTCAGAAGCAAAAGGAACTATTTTTTGAGGCCAAACAGATCTAATAGCTGTAAAGCCCCTAAACGAGGACCGTCCGCTCAACCCCAGCTCCCTCTCCTGGCCATGATGTGCACCAGACAACAGTCCCCATGTTGGGGTTCCCGTCTCTGTACCGGCACAGTGGCACAGAGCAGGGAGCACCCTGAGTAGGTCAGGAGGGGAGAATCCATTCCTGAGTCCTGTGTGCGTCCAGGCAGTTGGGGCGAGTGCTGGAGGGAGGAGGCTCGGTAAAACCGCGGGAAGGGCCGAGGGCGAGGAGCCCCGATTGATGATCACGGCACCTCGGGCACGTTCTCTTTATGGTCTCGAAGTTCTGTGTGGAGGCATCTGCGTGTCCTTCACGGGCAGGAGCAAGGGGTGTGCAGCAAGTGCTCCTGACTTCACTGTGTGTCTCCTGAAGACCGTCTCCCTTTGTGTGCCGGTAGCTTGTGTTGCACACACGCTCGTCCTGGGATAAACGAGCTACTGGCACACGTCAGAGGCACCAGGCCTCTGTTCTAGTGCCTTGTGCCAGTTACTCTGACAGCTCAAAATTGCCATTTAGCAATGAAAGCTGGGACTCCGGCTGGTCTCCCACATGACCACACACACCCGTTCTCACCAACGTGCGAACTCTGCATTGCTGAGCTTCCTTCATTCTCTCTTGATTCCTTAAGTTTATGATCAGAGTTTATAGTAATCTTAAAGGGTCTCACCGCACCCAGCTGGTGTGGCTCAGCGGTTGAGTATCGACCTAGGATCCAGGAGATTGTGGTTCGATTCCCAGTCAGGGCACGAGGCAGCCGATCAATGACTCTCTCATCATTGATGTTTCCATCTCTCTCTCCTTCTCTGAAATCAATAAAGATATTTTTTTAAGAAAACCTCATCACAAGAAAAAAGGGAAAAAGAAGAGGAGAGCATTTTTGTAGGTGTGTGTGGCGATGCTGTTAACCAAACTTGCTGTGGTGATCGTTTCACAGTTTATACAGGTGACAAAGTTGTACACCCTGTTACGTTGTACACGGAAAACAAATACAATGTTGTATGTCAATTATATCTTAATTTTAAAAAATCAGGATCTCTAACTAAACAAACGCTGTCGGATTTGTAGAACACTGGAAGCACATGTTGCTAACAGACGAGAGAACAAAATGAGAGCCTTCATTTCACGTGTGCCTTTTAGGTGAACGAGACAGAGAGGGACGTTGCAAAGCAGTCGCTGTTCATTCGCCACCCTGAGATGAAAGACTGGCCTTCCAGCCACGACTGGTTCTTTGCCAAGTTGAACATAACCAACATCTGGCTCGTGGACTACTTCGGTGGACCCAAAATAGTGACGCCCGAGGAATATTTCAATGTCACATTTCAGTAAGTGTTCATTTATACATCGTTCGCCATATCACAGCCCTCATCGGTGGTCCTTAAGCCAGGGGGGTGGTAACCACTTCGTGTACCGTGGACTCTTGGCAAACTGGTAAGGCCTATGACCACCCTCACAGTAGTATTTTTTTAATGCACAAAATACCTAGGATTACAAAGGAAACGATATTGAAATACTTTTTTTTTTTTTTAATATATCTTTATTGATTTCAGAGAGAGGAATGGAGAGGAGAGAGAGAGAAACATCAATGACGAGAGACTCAACATTGATCGGCTGCCTCATGCACGCCCCCAACTGTAATTGAGGTATAGTAACATGTTGGCTTTTAAATGAGCACATTAAATAATGTATTTCACAGTAGTGAGGACTGAAAACTATTTTAAGACACCTGTACCAGCTCTGCCATGAGAAGAAAGTGTCTGCGATTCTGTGTTTCTGTTGGCCAGAGTCAGATACACTGTAACCACGCGGTTTGCTGCCTGCATTCCTCACGGAAGGAAATGATTAATTTCAGTTAGAGCTTAATGAAAGTGAAAACTTTTCTTCCACCCAAGTTCACAGACCCCCTGATTCTACCCACAGGCCAGACCACAGGCTGAGACCTGGTGGGGCTGTGCTGTGGGCTCTGGGTGGAGCCCCGTTCTGACCCGTGATGGCATTTTCTCAGGAGCATCAGACTCGGCTGCCTCTGGACTGCATGACCCCCACTCGAGTCTGAGCTCGCGACCCTGTCCCCAGCAGCCCCCAGCCCTGGGAGTGCCTGTGGGGCTGAGTGGATTCCCCACCAGGACGTGGGCACAGGAGGGGAGGAGGGAGAACGACCTGAAGAGGAGGTGTAGTCGGATGCTTTGCGATGAGGTCGGGCGAAATGAAGGAATGCAAGACCTGATGCCCTTCCCAGGTGACACAGGCAGCCCTGACACACCTGACATGCTCGGCCTGATGGGCAGTGATGCCAACCACAACAGTAACACAACGCCTGGGCACCCCAGCTCCGGAGCCCTCCGGCCTCCCAGCCAGGCTGCCGTGCTGCCCCTCAGGTTGCCCCGGTGGCTGGCCGGGCTCCCGCTCCAGTGCCACTCAGTGCAGGGTCTCCTTGTGATGACCGGCTGCTGTTGGCAGAGGTGAGGTGAGGCTGCAAAGCTGGACTGTAGGTTGTAGCTCACGTTTGGGCTTCTGCTCTCAGCCCTCACGTATCCTGTGTGTTACTACACTGTAGATCAGTCCACGCTGAACTGTCGACTTCCCTCCACGATTGTAAATTTCTTCACAGCAAAACTCAGCTTTTATTTTGATTTTTAAAAATCCTAAACACGGCCTGGGACAATGCATGGCACAGAGCAGGTGTCTCGTAAATACCGGCGACCTGCAGCTTGATCAGTTGAGACAGACTCTTGGCTTGTTTGACTAGAGCCCACGCGCGTGCGGGAGAGGGGGCGCGGGCCAGCGGTGGTCCTCTGGGCTGGCAAAGCCACTTACTTTATAGGAACCCAGAGGTGGCCATTGCAGCTTGATGGCCAGTGACTAGTTACCCAGGAGGTCAGCCAGTAGCCAAGCCCGCCCCTCAGGGCTGGCGTGGACTTTCACAGGATGACTGTCTCTGACTACAGCTGTCTGCATAAATGACGTGCCCACGGGCAGTGCTCCCTCTAACAGCAAACGAGCAAGTGTCTTCTCTAAGTCGCCATGCTGAGTGGGGAGGGTGAACGTGAGGCTCTCACTTCCCTGCAGCACAGAGGTGAGGGGGCACGTTCCAGTCTTTGAGGGGATGCCCAAGACAGCACTGGGCGTGACCCCGTCTGAGGCAGGACGTCAGTCTGGGGACGGGCAGTGCCTCCAAGCTGACCTTTCTGGACAGGCCTGACTATTAATAGCCCATTTCAGGGCCCGGGAGTGGCCCTGCCACCATGCCGCCCACTCGGATTGCCATCAGCACTGTCCCATAGTCCAGGGAGTGGGCAGTAATATCCGTCAGGGTGGAGGGCCTGACATTCTTGGGGAACCCCTCCCACGGGCCTCACAGGCCTGCCGGAGCTTCCCCCGCCCCTGCGGCCGGCTTGCCACAGGATGTTACTTCTACAAACACCCTGAGCCTTCTGCACCTCGGGATCTGCCTCACTCAGAGGCATCTTTTGAGATCATTTCAGCACAAATGCCTCACCCTTGAGTAAGCAGTTCTCATACAATCAGCAGTTGCCTCTGCTCACGGTTAAGTCTGAGCACCAGGCCTCCTCCCAACTCCTCTGGTGTGCCCGCCTGGTCCCTGGTAAGGACACAGGTCAGGAGAGGTCATGGATTAGAAGCTCGCCTGTTCTCTCGTACCCGGGGAGGGAGTTTCTGATAGCCCTGGTCAAAGCTGCAACAGGAAAGTGGGTCAAAGTCACCTCCCCAGCTGGATTCAACACCGTTGGGCACTGGCTGACTAACACCCTTTTCCCTAATATTTGGGACCCCTTCTGTTCTCAACTGTTTTTGTCTTTTAAACCTTTAGATATTCTTGAGTGGAGAACCACACAGCCTGAATAACGCTGTGTCCAGCGCATGTGTCAGCATCCTCCTTGGACAGGGGTGATGGTGGCTACCATGGAAATTTCTAGGCACATTGACAGCAGAGCTCGGGAATCTCAGGCGATGCCTCAGTGCACTGGAGTGGCTGGAGTTAGCTCAGAATTTTAAACCATCACATCAGGAGTTTCTCTAGTCCTTCCCTAGAATGAATTAACTTTTAAGATTTGTCAACCCTGTTTAATGAAATAATCCTTCTTCCTCTCCTCCTCTGTTTAGGTGAAGCAGAATTTGCCCAACTTAACCACATGGGTGAAGTTTTTAGGACGTTTCGTACAGACCTGAAGGACCCCAGGTTCCTCTCTGGAAAGCATCCTGAAGCTCAGCCCATTTGCTTTTATGCGTGGCTGGTTTTCTTGCTTGTTAACAGATCAATTTGGAGTGTTACTGGATTTCTTGGAAGATGTGGTTGCTAAATTTTATAAATTTAAATTTATAGTTTCATTACCTTTATACATGGTTTCAGAAGAGATAAGACCCCTCGTAAAGAGGAGTGTCAGGAGTCAAGCATGGACCCTTTGATGGCTCCGAGAAAGGAGTGGGTTCCCAGCATCATGTTTGAAAACAAAATGAACTTACCCAAGATCCAGCCAACAGCTTCTGGTTTAAAAAAGAAGAAAGAAAAGAAAAATGACTTACATTAAACTTGGTAAAATAGTTTCTTATGCAAAGCATTAATAATTAAAAGCATTATGTTAATGTATGAGTTGGATTTTTTTTCTTACACATGTTCATATTCATTACACTCTTACTGGACACTGTCGAGACCCTTTGTGTCTTTATTTTAGCGTGCTGTCGAATCAAACATTGGCTGTTACGAAGCTTCAAGGGACTCTTTCCCTTTGGCAAACATCTCATCACTTCCTAAAATTTGGGGCCTGGCCAGAATGCAGCCCTGGTCCAGGGTCTGCCCTCAGGGCCTTAGTGCCTCCCTGCAGTGCCTGTGACGGAATTAGGTTGAGGACACCTATCTGCTTTTCTTTCTGTACCCACTCAGTGTGGATTTTGTGCGTGTCACCATTCGGTGCCATGTAATGGTACCTGTATTCAGGTGGGATCCAGGTATCACAGGAAGGACAGCCACTGTGGCAGCAGGTGGTACAGGGTGACGGACAGAGCACCTTCCTGCTGTGTTCCGGTTGACCACCAGAGGGCACTGCACACCACTCTTGGGGCAGATGTCGGTTCCTTTTAAGGCGCCTCAGTGACACCACCGGCTGGGTTTGGGGGGGCGGCCTCGATGATGACAATGGGGCAAAGGCAGCTCCGCAGGGACAGGAGGAGACACAGAGCTCATGCTCACTCCCTCCATGTCACGTGCTTCAGGTCCCCCTGCACCCCACCTCCTGCAGAAGCGGGACAGAGACCTGGCCTCAACCCGCGAGGGCGAGTGTCTCGGAGGGGACAGGGTGGTTCTGACCAAGAGGAAAAGTGAAAAGTGGAAAGAGGGCGTGACCGAGGCCCCGGAAGGCCCTCGGATCTGTGCTGCCAGCCAACGATCACAGCGTATGCCGCCTTCCAGTCGGTCGGAACTCCCCGCACCTCCTGGTGGGGCGGAGAACACCCTCGGTGAACGGAGGCGGGGCCCAGGGGAATCTGCGGAAACCGCTCCCCCTCTGGTGTCCCACTGCCCTTCTTAGGAACATGCCCACTGGAGGCGCCTGGCCGTGGAAGAGGAGATTCTGTTTCTTACAGTGGGCGTGCTTTCAGTTTTACTACCGAAAACAAAACCACTTTACTTTGTGTCAAGCTGGTAGGCCAATATTTTTTAGGGAAATTCCAAACTACCACTTCAGAACCAGGTGCTCTGTACATTTTCATCCGAGAAGGCAATTCTAACTTAAATCCTTTCGGGAGTTAAGGGACTATAAATCAGCCAGTAAAACTCCATGTTTTTCTTAGTTTTTCTTAGTATTTATTGTAAGATGTGTGAAAAATCTGGACAATTTAAAAAGTTTAAAAATGTATCATCTCACCAGCCAGCATGGCTGCTAACATTTGGATGTGTTTTCTTCCAATCTCTGCTTCCGAGAAGTGTTTAAATATAACATTGACTAGTAGGATCACTGATTGCGTATCATGCTTCTTTCACTTGGTCATAAGCTTATGTTACTAGAAACCTGCAGAATACTTCATCAGACCAACAACGGCCTGTATTGGCACCCTGTGCTGGTGACAGAAACCCCAGTCAGAGTCCTTGAAGCAAAGAGGCATTCATCGACCTGAAAGTACTCCTTCAAAACTTGCCTCTTTCTACCGTGTTGGTCTTAATTGCAGTCAGCAATCTTAGAGCCAGAGGAGGCCTCCTTCCCAGCCAGGGGGCCATTCCTGGGTGGTCCCTGTGTCTGGGAGTGGGGCGCCCTCACTGGCCCAGCCCAGGTCCCAGGTCCTTCCCTGCAGCTGGGGGTTCAGCTCAGCCCCCATCAGAACCACAAGGACTGCGGGAATTGGAGGAGCTACATTAGTTAACGGGAGGGACATGGCCAGGCCGAGCTCAGGACTGTCACCGCTCTCTCCCGCGTTTGAACATGTAAGTCACTTCCAATGTCTCCCTGTTTTAAGAGACAGGCCTTTTTATACATGAACTGTTTTCTACAACTATATTTATTTCCTTAGAGAGATTCCCAGCAGCAGAAAAGAGCTGTTGGTACATGTTGCAAACTACTCTTAAGAATTTCTATCACTTAGTCCTGCAAGCAGGGTGTGATGTGCTCACGCAGTGCCCGGATTTGATGGGTAAGAATGGTATTGTCTTTAGGTTACTGATAACTTTGGACATCTAAAAGCCCAATAAAGCCCTGGCCAGTGTGGCTGAGTTGGTTGGGAGTCGTCCTGTGCACCGGAAGTTCTCTGGTACGATTCCTAGTCAGGGCACATCCTGGGTTGCAGGCTCAGTCCCCAGAAGGGGTCGTGCAGGAGGCAGCCAATTGATGTTTCCCTCTCATATCAATGTTTCTCTCTCTTTCCATCTCTCTAAAAAGCAATTTAAAATATTTAAAAAATAAAAATGATAAAAACCCAATAAATACTAGTTGTTTTTCTTTCCTTTGCTTTAAATAGCAGTTAGTAACCTATAGGTTGAGTTTTCTCAAAAATGGGCATACCATTGTCTGTTTATCCATACATCTGCTGATGAATATTTGGTGGTTCCAGTTTGAGGCTGTTACAAATAAAGCTACTATGACTGTTTATGCTAAGTCTTCCTGTGGACATATACTTCCTTACGTCTTAGGTAGATACCTAGGAGTGGGATGGCTGGATCATATGGTGAGTGTATGTTTAACTTTTTAAGAACCCGCCAAACTATTCCCCAAGACGGCTGTGTCCTTACATTCCCCCCATCAGGTATGAAAGTTCCAAATCCAGGCCAAGTTCAGAACTGCAGGCTCAGACCTCCTCCGACCCTCTCCTTTACAGATAAGGACACTGGGGTCTAGAGATGCCGGGTGACCTCCTTGAGGCCACGCAGCACACAGGTAGCAGGGACGGTGTGAGCCTGGCTGCGTTAGCCTGCCCCTGACCCAGAGTAGTCACCCGAGTCTGGGAAAGTGGCGAGTGCTCCTCCATGCACTGGGAACTCATATTTGCTTAGGGACTGACGTCACCAATCAAAGTAGGACTTAGATTAAAATGAGACCAAAATTAGGGGGAGGGGAAGAAAAATGAAACAGTGGTTAAATGAGAGAAAGAACAAAATTCAGGCAGGCAGGCAGACAACACACACCCCAAACCCTCAAACCTCCAGAGCTTCCTGCCCGTGAACCGAGGGGGGGCGAGGGCCTTGCTGCTGGCAGGTGCCTTCCTCTCAAAGCCCGAGTCCTCCACTTCCTGAGGAGGCCGCACCGAGCGCAGCCAGCACACACTCCCTTTGTCTTCTTTGTCCCACCACGGCTGCGACGGCACCGGCATCCCAGCACCATCCCAGGGACAGGACAGCATGAAGTGGGAGGTGCTTGTCATCGCTGCCATCCTGCAGGCCCAGTTCCCAATTGCAGGTAAGACCGACACATCGATGGCAAGGAACTTTGAGGAACTTTGTGCACGTGTGGGGGGGACTGTCGGGGACTGGTGAGGACCTGGTGTCTCCTCGAACCCTGTCCTTCCAAAATCCGTGGGCAGCCGAGCAGGGTGGGGCGCGGCTCGGTGCTGCCGGCAGTGGCTTCACAGCAAGCGAGCCTCAGGTCAGAGGCAGTGGCTTCGAATCACACCTGCCCAAGTTATGGATTTTTCCAGTGATCAGAGGGTCGGGAAAGACGAGGCAGGGAGCGGGGGAGCACCTGAGGCAGGCCCCGTGTTTAGCAGAAGCTGGTGGGGTCAGAGGACGTGAGGCAGGCCAGGTTCCAAGCTGCCACTTGGCTCTAGTTTCTGCGTCTTCTTTTACCCCCTGGCTCCGTTGCTCGGCCCCTCCTTCCTTCATCAACAGAACGTTTCCCGCGCCGGTCAGGCAGGGTCACAGCTGTGGCCTGGCTGACTTGAGGCACCTTGGTGGTCCAGGGACTAAGTGGGGTTAACGGAGGAGGGACACGGCCTTCCGTAGGGTCCACGTCGAGGCTCAGCCCTGCACCCAGGGCCAGCTCTGCCCTGTCACACACCCGTCACAGGCTCCGGGGGCTCACCCACCCTCACGTAGGCAGATCTCTGAGGCCAAAAACGCCACACAGAACGTAAGGGACAGAGGAGAGGAGGCGATTTGTTCAGCCGCTGCCATGGGTGACAAACACCCAACAAGAGAACTTACTCTTCACCTCCTTTCAGTTCCCAGAGTGAAGCGTTTCTAGACTCTTCACCCCCACGGTGTTTCTCAGGGGACGAGCTTCACATCTCTCTATAAGGAACAGGACAAGCTGTGTTTGCACCTAAAGAAACAGGGAAGGTTGTCCCAAACGTCCCTGCTCACCTCAGCACGGGACAGTGGCGGGAGGCAGGAGAGGCCACGGGCACTTCTGCCCCTGCCTGGGGACGTGGCACAGCCCCGGCCAGCGCCGGGGGTTTTGAGGTCTGAGTGACGGTGGCTTTTCTGTAAGATCGCAGCTCTTCTCAGAAAGGCCTGCCTGGGTGTGATTCACAAAGTGCTGTGGGGACAGCGGAGCGTGCCCAGAGCAGCCTGTCCCGGCACCCAGGGCACCAGGGGACCCGCAGCCACAGCAGCCCGGGAGTCCAGTGCCCAGCTGAAAGCAGGAGGCTCGGACCCTGGGCCTTGGGCATGGGAGACAGAGCTTGGGAGGTCAGTCACCATGTGGACTTTCCTCGTGGGCCCACTGAGATTGGGGCAAAGTGGGTTTAGAAAGGACAAGAAAAGCTGCTTGGGTGCTGGTGGCCTCCAAGAGCAGAAATTAAAACCCTGCCCAGCAGATAGGAGGGTTTGTGGCCCATTTCCAAACCCACAGAGCAGGCCTGGCCGGGGTTGATGTGGAAATTTAATGTAAGGAAAATTCCTTATAGATGTGGCTCCTGAACAAAAGTGTTTCAAAGTGACCTAGGCCCACTGTGGTGAGGGACGGGGGACTCAGAGAGGCCATTAACACTCCCTGCGATTGCCCCAGAGCATAGGCTACTTGCAGAACTTGACCTCTGGTCTTCTCTCTTTTCTTGCTCAATGAAGTTACAGGCCCTTTTAAAACATCCACTTTTCACTAAGACTATCCATTTGCATTTCCTTGGACATGCCCTGATCATCTGGATCAAAGCGAGTAATGAACCTTGCCTGTCTTCGCGAGGTCTCCCTGGGCGAAAGTCCCCCGAGGCCGTCCCCGTCAGCAGC